TCCTTACGCTCTGACAGCGTGAGGAAAGTGCAGCCGAGAACCGGCGAATTGCATTTCCCGGTGATCAGCGTGTCATTGGACACGGCTGATCACATGGTAAAAGGCCGCTGTGGTTGGCCTTTTACCACATCATGTGATCAGCTGTGTCTGTAGGATCACAGAGATCGCCGGGTGCGTGCAGGAGAGCGCGTTCTGGGAGGACGTCATATGACGGCCTCCCAAAACTGGCCGGCCGCAGTGCAGCCGTCATTTGGCTATCTGCAGTCGGCAACTGGTCAATATTTGGTAGCACAACCTTGGAAAAAATAACTGAAATCAATTGCTTCCTGTAACCATCAATGGGTTTCTTACACTTCTCTACTAGCATTTTGGACCACTCTTCTTTCACCAGCTGCTCCAGGCCTCTCCGATTGGGTTCCTTTTCCCACCTGCTGTTTTGAGATACCCCCACAGGTGCTCTAAGGGATTGAGATCTGGAGTCATTGCTGGCCAGTTCTGTACTCTCCAGTGCTTTTTCTGAAACCATTCCTGGATGCTTTTTGACATGTGCTTTGGGTCATTGTCCTGCTGTAAGACCCCTGACCTCAGACGAAGACCAAACTTTCTGACACTGAGCCCTACATTGCACCCCAGAATTCTTTAGTAGTCTTCAGATTTCATAATGAAATGCACACGATCAAGACCTCCAGTGCCTGAAGCAGCAAAGCAACCCCAAAACATCAGTGAACCTCCACCATGTTTGACTATAGGGACTGGATTAATTTCTTTAAAGGCCTTATTGCTTTTTCTGAAAACTGTAGAATGTTGGGCTTTACCAAAAATCTGTAATTTTGTTTCATCTGTCCACAGCACATTCTCCCAAAAGGATTTTGGCTTCCTGAGGTAAGTTATGGCAAACTCCAATCTGGCTTTTTTACGTTTCTGTGACAAGCAGTGGGGTCCTCCTGGGTCTCCTACCATAGCATCCCTTTTCATTCAATGGCGATATATAGTGCAAGCTGACACATTTTGTACCTGCGCCTGAATGTCAGCTTGAATTTGTCTAGAAGTTGATCAAGGTTCTTTAGCCATCATTTGAACAATCCTTTGTTGCAATCTTTGGTCAATGTTTCTCTTTTGTCCATGTACAGGGAGATTAGATACAGTGCAATGGGCTGTAAACTTCTTGACAATATTGCACATAGTCTACACAGAAAAATTAAGATCTCTGGGAGATGGACTTGTAACCTTGAGATTGTCCATGCTTTTCCATAATTTTTGTTCCCAAATCCGCAGACAATTCTTTGCTGCTCTTTCTCTTCTCCATGCTCCATGTGGCACACAGAGACACACAACAGAAAGGTGGAGGACATTCATTTAAGGTGAATGTCATTGTCCTGCAGCCATTTCAGGTCATGATATCATGAGCCAGGGGCAGACTGACCATTTGAAATCTCGGGCACTGCCCAAGGGCCCGGGGTCAGTAGTGGGCCCCATGAGATGCCCCTGGTACCTTTTTCATAGACTTTTTTGAGTTTGGGCAAGCACACAGGGGTTGATCCCCTATTGCCGGGTGCCCCATGGGTTGTCAGTCTGCCCCTATCATGAGCCCAATCAACTGCAGACAGGGTATTCCCTGCCGCTCAGCTGCATGTACACAAAGGGGCAGGGATGCTTGTGACATCATTGATCTAATACAGCCACATGGTCATAGTAGGTCAATGATGTCACAATGATCCCTGCCCCTTTGTTTATGTGCATCTGTGGGACAAGTTATGCCCTGGCTGCATTTGACTGGGCAACAGTGGCTGGAGTGAAGGGTTTCTTCTGGATTTGGTCCACAAATTCGGATCAAACCTTAATTTGTACTACAGTATGGCTGATTCACACCAACAGCTCTGCTGATCGCACATCTGCTGGTGTGTCCTGGTTTGACACAGTGCTGAAGGAAAAATCCTGGAACATCGCACAGATTTTGTTTTCAGAACTTTATTGAAATGTCACAAGTGACATTTCATTAAGTTGTATTCACACAGTGATGTTGGGGTGGAGTGGTTTTTGCCAAAACCTGTTGCACTAAAAAAAGTGCTACATGCAGTGCTTTTTTCAGCACACACTACTGCAAAGCAGTGGTATGAACTGAATTGCTATGTCTTTGTGTATGAAAAAGCAAATAGTAGGAATGGACTGAGTTTGTGTCGGAGACCTGAAGACAAGATCAGTGGTCATGGGAGATCCTCCAACTCTTGTCCGGAATACAGCTTCTCACTGGCAGGAACTGTGGTGTGGCACTGGAACTCAGTCACTAGAGATGAGCGAATCGAAGTAGGCGAAGTGGAATTCGTTTCGAATATTAGGAAAATTTCGATTCGCGTCGAATCCGAAAATAAGCAGACTTCGGATGCGCGAATCGAAATTTTTCCTAAAATGGCGGCGACATGTTCGGCGACGGAGCGGGGATGTCTGGGAAGGCGCGCAGACAAGGCGCGCTGACCCAAATGCATTCATTCATGACATGTGATCGCATTAGCCAATCAGCAGCCAGCCAGCCAGCCAGCACAGTGTAATGGTCGAGCTATAAATGGCGGCCATTTTAGAATTCTCCATTTGCCTCCAGTCATTCAACAGAGGCAGACCTGGCTGTATTCAGGGAGAGAGTTAGGGACAGAGAAACGTTACTTAGGGACACAGAAACGTTAGTTAGGGCCACAGAATCGTTACTTAGGGCCACAGAATCGTTACTTAGGGCCACAGAAACGTTACTTAGGGCCACAGAATCGTTAGTTAGGGCCACAGAAACGTTACTTAGGGACACAGAATTGTTACTCAGGGACAGACAGAATTGTTACTGAGGGATACAGAATTGTTACTGAGGGCCACAGAATCGTTACTTAGGGCCACAGAAACGTTACTTAGGGCCACAGAATTGTTACTTAGGGACAGACACAGAATTGTTACTGAGGGCCACAGAATCGTTACTTAGGGCCACAGAAACGTTACTTAGGGCCACAGAAACGTTACTTAGGGCCACAGAATTGTTACTTAGGGACAGACACAGAATTGTTATTGAGGGACACAGAATTGTTACTGAGGGCCACAGAACCGTTACTTAGGGCCACAGAAACATTACTTAGGGCCACAGAAACGTTACTTAGGGCCACAGAAACGTTACTTAGGGCTACAGAAACGTTACTTAGGGCCACACAGAAACGTTACTTAGGGCTACAGAAACGTTACTTAGGGCCACAGAAACTTTACTTAGGGCCACAGAATTGTTACTTAGGGACAGACACAGAATTGTTACTGAGGGACACAGAATTGTTACTGAGGGCCACAGAACCGTTATTTAGGGCCACAGAAACGTTACTTAGGGCTACAGAAACGTTACTTAGGGCCACAGAATCGTTACTTAGGGCCACAGAATCGTTACTTAGGGACACAGAAACGTTACTTAGGGACACAGAAACGTTACTTAGGGACACAGAATTGTTACTCAGGGACAGACACAGAATTGTTACTGAGGGACACAGAATTGTTACTGAGGGACACAGAATTGTTACTCAGGGACAGACACAGAATTGTTACTGAGGGACACAGAATTGTTACTGAGGGACACAGAATTGTTACTCAGGGACACAGAATTGTTACTGAGGGACACAGAATTGTTACTGAGGGACACAGAATTGTTACTCAGGGACACAGAATTGTTACTCAGGGACAGACACAGAATTGTTACTCAGGGACAGACACAGAATTGTTACTGAGGGACACAGAATTGTTACTGAGGGCCACAGAACTGTTACTTAGGGCCACAGAAACGTTACTCAGGGACACAGAATTGTTACTCAGGGACAGACACAGAATTGTTACTCAGGGACAGACACAGAATTGTTACTCAGGGACAGACACAGAATTGTTACTGAGGGACACAGAATTGTTACTGAGGGACACAGAATTGTTACTAAGGGACACAGAATTGTTACTGAGGGCCACAGAACTGTTACTTAGGGCCACAGAAACGTTACTCAGGGACACAGAATTGTTACTCAGGGACACAGAATTGTTACTCAGGGACAGACACAGAATTGTTACTCAGGGACACAGAATCGTTTAATTAAAGAGTATGTCAGACAACATGCAGAGGAGTGGCAGAGGAGGCAATGTTTTAGGAGTGAGCAGACGTGGCAGCAGAGGAAGGGGTCGAGGCAGCACTATTCGCAGCCAGAGGCCAGTGCTCCCGGTGTCATCCAGTACAGTGAGGAAGAGCTAACAGAGGGCGGTCAGGAACGGGGGGAGACATCCGCCTCTTCAGCAGCCAGGCGAAGAAGTAGTGGCGAGGAGAGTGGCTCGGTAGCCGGTCTAGAGACAGGTCTGTCTCCTGACCCACACGCAGCCGAGGGGGCTAGTAGTGAGGCGGAGACCCTAATTGATGATGATGAGGCTGATCGCACTTGGCAGCCTCGTCGTCATCAGGCTATTGCTTCCGCATCATCAGGAGAAGAGGGTGGCAGCTTGGCAGCGAGCAAAACAGTCGGTGGGTTGTCTCCATCGCCACACTCTGCCATGTGCCACTTTCAGGTCTCCTCACACACTGCTGGTGTGTTCCCATTTTTTGTCAAAGGGTTCTGGCAGATTACGGGCCTCCCATAGCTGCTGCCAGGCCCCTAATCTGCCATGGGCCCCTGTACCGCCTCCTCATGCTGCTGCCAGGTCCACAGTGTCTCATGCCATGTGCCACTTTCAGGTCTCCTCACACTGCTGGTGTGTGTTCCATTTTTTGTCATAGGGTGCTGGCAGATTACGGGCCTCCCATTGCTGCTGCCAGGCCCCTAATCTGCCATGGGCCCCTGTACCGCCTCCTCATGCTGCTGCCAGGTCCACAGTGTCTCATGCCATGTGCCACTTTCAGGTCTCCTCACACTGCTGGTGTGTTCAATTTTTTGTCATAGGGTGCTGGCAGATTACGGGCCTCCCATAGCTGCTGCCAGGCCCCTAATCTGCCATGGCCCTGTACCGCCTCCTCATGCTGCTGCCAGGTCCACAGTGTCTCATGGGTCCCTGTACGGCCTCCCATTGCTGCTGTCTCCATCGCCACACTCTGCCATGTGCCACTTTCAGGTCTCCTCGCACTGCTGGTGTGTTCCATTTTTTGTCATAGGGTGCTGGCAGATTACGGGCTCCCATTGCTGCTGCCAGGCCCCTAATCTGCCATGGGCCCCTGTACCGCCTCCTCATGCTGCTGCCAGGTCCACAGTGTCTCATGCCATGTGCCACTTTCAGGTCTCCTCACACTGCTGGTGTGTTCAATTTTTTGTCATAGGGTGCTGGCAGATTACGGGCCTCCCATAGCTGCTGCCAGGCCCCTAATCTGCCATGGGCCCCTGTACCGCCTCCTCATGCTGCTGCCAGGTCCACAGTGTCTCATGGGTCCCTGTACGGCCTCCCATTGCTGCTGTCTCCATCGCCACACTCTGCCATGTGCCACTTTCAGGTCTCCTCACACTGCTGGTGTGTTCCATTTTTTGTCATAGGGTGCTGGCAGATTACGGGCCTCCCATAGCTGCTGCCAGGCCCCTAATCTGCCATGGGCCCCTGTACCGCCTCCTCATGCTGCTGCCAGGTCCACAGTGTCTCATGCCATGTGCCACTTTCAGGTCTCCTCACACTGCTGGTGTGTTCCATTTTTTGTCATAGGGTGCTGGCAGATTACGGGCCTCCCATAGCTGCTGCCAGGCCCCTAATCTGCCATGGGCCCCTGTACCGCCTCCTCATGCTGCTGCAGGTCCACAGTGTCTCATGCCATGTGCCACTTTCAGGTCTCCTCACACTGCTGGTGTGTTCAATTTTTTGTCATAGGGTGCTGGCAGATTACGGGCCTCCCATTGCTGAACGTCCTCCTGTCCAAGTTGCTGCTGCCAGGCTCGTAATCTGTCATGCGCCCCTGTACCGCCTCCTCATGCTGCTGCCAGGTCCAGAGTGTGTCATGGGCCCCCGTACCGACTCCTCATGCTGCTGCCAGGCCCGTAATCTGTCATGGGCCCCTGTACCGCCTCCTCATGCTGCTGCCAGGTCCAGAGTGTGTCATGGGTCCCTGTACGGCCTCCCATTGCTGCTGCCAGGCCCGTAATCTGCCATGGGCCCCCGTACCAACTCCTCCTGCTGCTGCCAGGCCCGTAATCTGTCATGGGCCCCTGTACCGCCTCCTCATGCTGCTGCCAGGTCCAGTGTGTGTCATGGGTCCCTGTACGGCCTCCCATTGCTGCTGTCTCCATCGCCACACTCTGCCATGTGCCACTTTCAGGTCTCCTCACACTGCTGGTGGTTTCCATTTTTGTCATTAGGGTGCTGTATGGCCTCCCATTGCTGCTGCCTCCACCGCCACACTGTGGCTCCACACTCTGGTTTTGGCCCCGTGACTGCCCAAATGAGTGAAGTGTGCGGTGATTCTAAGATCGACGGCACTCATCTGCATGTCATACTGACTGTCAGTATTATTTCTCTTCCCCAGCAGACTCCAAGGGCATTTAAATTAAAGGTACAGTGTTCTGCACTAATATAAAGGCTCTCTGAAGCCTAGAAACACCCTTTTATAAGTTAAATTTGCAGCGAATATATTCGACTCGAATCGAACTTTTTCCACGAATTCGCCGAATCAGTCGAATCGAATTTTTGAATACTTCGCTCATCTCTATCAGTCACCTATCTACTCTGTGCTTGAGTCGCTCCCTAGCAGTTTCTAATATGACATGCGACAGGACCTCTAACTACCAGAAGTGGTCATCAGATGCTTAACCTGTCTCTAGTCTATACTGGTTATTAAGCCCTAAGCTAAAACTTGTGCAGTGACTTTTTATCCATCTTTGTTTATCATCTCTTCAGGAGTATCCATGAGGACATACCTTCCCTTCTTGCGCAGCTCAGGGGCAATACTGGAGGCTACTCTCAGCACTCTTTCTCCCCTGGTGGGATTTCCACTGGGCACTCACCAATCTGATACACCAATCCATGCTGATAGCTAACAGAGTAGACATCGCAGAGCTCTTGAGGTTCAGATGGTATATCAACTTGATCAGAAGAAACAGTACAACCTCCTTCAAAAAACTTTTGGGAAGCACTATGTACTGCTATACAATCAGTGCCCAGTATCACTGGAGCTGCATGTGAATCACCTGTGCCAGGGCAGACAAGAGCCATGACCACCATAGGAAGAACACCTTTGGTTTCTAAATCCAGATCAATAACAGTTGCTTGCAAGCTTTCCATCAATAGGACAATTCCATTTTTCCAGTAGACTGAAGAAGAATGTTGCTTAATTACTGCTAGAATGAATGGAAAATAAGGGTAGCTTGGGAACCTGTGTCAAAAAGAGCTGGGGTTGTATGTCCATTGACAGTGACCTTAACTATTGACTTAGAGCCTATGAGGGGTCCTTTTGACTTTGGCCTGAAATTCCCTCCTCTGTCTTGTTGTTTCTGTACAGGGATTGCCACGCCTAGCATTGCCGAATGGCCAGTGTGACCACACTTGAAATTTCTTTGAGAAGCTCTCCCCTTTTGTGTAGCAAATGTTTGAGCAACCAAAGTTTTGGGTCAGTTGGACTCAGAATGTTCTGTTTGGGGGTGAGTTAGAATGGTGATCCTTGTCATAGGATGAAACATGTAGGGCGGGGCTTGATAGCGCTACACTTGTCCTCTGAGAAGGAATTGCTTTTTGCTGGGATTTAAAGTGCCATACACATGTTTTTTATGTAAGTGCAATTTTAATTGTTTTTCAGCTAATAAATATGGTGTTAAGCTATGGATGTTTGTCTTTGATGTTTTTATGGTGGTGGAGGAGTACTGTGGAGGTTCCGGAGGAGTTTTGTCGCAAATTAATGATCTAGAGGCGTTTCCAATATGGAGTCTGTCATCAGCGTATAGAGGTATTAAGACCACACAGACAGCCGACTTTCCTGCAGGAGAGCTTTGCAACATCTCATGCGATATTTGACCTACCATTCCAGGTGGTCAATTATCTGTGGTGAGTGGGGCTCTGGAGGGGGAGCACTAATTGGAGCACTATGCACAGAGAATTGCTATGGATAAGAAGATTTACTACTGTATCACTTAATATTCACACCATATGCAGGATGGGGGTTTTTTTTGGGTTTTTTTTTTTTGGAACTTTCAATTTTTTTGGAACTTTTATATGTTGCACAATTATTGGGAATTATATATATGTATTGTTTTATACAATTTCACTGTATACACAGTTCATGGCAATGTATACTGTATGTGCTATTTTTAGCACTATTGTCATTTAGGCACCTTGTATTTACTTATTGGTTTATTTGGGATTTAGTCACTGGAGAGGAGGGATATACTTGCCAGCCCACGGGGCATTATAGCACATGCACATTTGTGGGGACCCTTTGTGTAGTAGGGAGTTCATTCATTTATTTAATTCATTTATTTAAAGTCATTTTTGGGACAGGCAGCACAGCAATTTTTATGTTTGCACTCACACATTTGTTCACTGGTACACATTTTTTCTAGCAGCAGCCAGTCCAATTGATCAGTCCTCTGTGCAGGTTATACTCACACTCTTTTTGAACTCTTTTCACCTATTTAGGAGTACTAAACTGAATGTCAGCCTCATATTTCTTCCCTAACTTCATTAACCACTTGCCAATTTTCAGCTTTCAGTGCTGTCGCACTTTGAGTGAAAATTGCGTGGTCATGCAACACTGTACCCATATTACATTTTTATAATTTTTTTCACATAAACAGAGCTTTCTTTTGGTGGTATTTACTCGCCGCTGGCCATTTTATTTTTTGTGCTATAAACAAAAAAATAGCAAAAATGTTGAAAAAAATTTTTTTTTCTTTGTTTCTATTATAAAATTTTGCAAACAGGTAATTTTTCTCCTTCACTGATGTGCGTTGATGAGGCTGCACAGATAAGCAGCACTGATGGGCACTGATAGGCAGCACTGACAGGCACTGATAGGTGGCACTGATGAGGTGACACTGATGAGCTGGCACTGATGAGCTGGCACTGATGTGCAACAATGATGGGCACTGATTGGCAGCACTGATAGGTAGCACTGATATGCAACAATGATGGGCAGCACTGATATGCAACAATGATGGGCACTGGTAGGCGGCACTGATGGATGGCACTGACTGGCGGCACTGATGGGCACTGACTGGCAGAACTGATGGGCAGCACTGATGGATGGCACTGCTTGGCACAGGTGGGGTGGCACTGATGGCACAGGTGGGCGGGCACTGATGGGCACAAATGGGTGGCACTGGTGGGTGGAACTACTGGGCACTGATCATCAGGCCACTGATCATCAGTGGCCTGATGATCTGTGCCGAACCCTCCTCTGACAATTGCCAGTACTCGGCAGTACTTTCCTCATGCTGTGACAGCATGAGGAATGTGCAGCCGATAACCGATATCTGCATTTACCGGTGATCTGCTGTGTCATTGGCTGATCATGTGGTAAAAGGCCTTTTACCACATCACGTGATCAGCTGTGTCCATAGGACACTGTGATAATGGAGATCGCCAGGTGCACGCCCCCGAGGGGGAGGCACGTTCTGGAAGGATGTCATATGATGCCCATTCTCCCAGAACTGGACAACCTCTCCACTGTGGTTCAAACTTCTCAATCCCCCAAAATATTAAAGAAGAGGGATCTTTGTTATGATGGGTGGCTCCCTTAATCTTTTCCAGAGGGGTCTCTGTGTTCTCCCAGTAATCCTAGAGAGTGGGGATTGTTTATTCTATTGATTGCCATGTATATTTAATTGTGTACACTAGATGGCAGTGTGGATGTGCACTCTTATCATACATATTTTGTTGATTTGGAGCAGTAACCTTCGAACCTGATCTGGATGATTAGAGTCACTACACATAATTATATATTATTTACTAATTTAACCACCATATGTGATTTGGCCATCTCAAGTGGATTTGGCCATTATTCATGTCCCTTTTGATTCTTACATTGAGCTTGGTTTTCACATTGGCTGCTTCTGGTATTACACATTGATGGATGGGATTGTCAAATCGTGGCTTGGATTCACTTCCTGTTTGGACCTGGCCATTCTATGTGGTCTGATCTCTTTTGTGAATTTGGCCACTTTTTACAGATTTGGCCATTGTGAACAGCTTTTTTAAATCTAGATTGAGGCTGGGTTTGCAAGTTGGTTCCTTCCGGTACTGTTCAAACAGTGGATGGAATTGTGAAATTGAGGCTTGGATTTATCTGTGTTATCTACTTCCGGTGATCAGTTTGTGCTGGTTGTGCTCCAAATCGAGGCTTGGATAATCTCTATTTAAGTGCGGTGGCTCCGTAGCCCCTAGAGACGTCTTTTGATGATGAAACGCGTTGGACTGGAGCTTCCCTCTGATGTCATCTTGCCGTTGGCCATCTTGGAAATGGTTTATGTGAATGCGTTTAATTGTTCTACAGCTTGTAAGAAGGATTTCATTTGCCAAACAAAGAAGTTTGAGAGGCATGTTTTTTCTTTCA